TCTGTTGGTTTGGTCTGATAGTGTTACATGCTGTGGATGATTTTAAATTAAAATTGTATTCAAAACATTGACAGCAAGAAGTGGTTCAGCCATGGCCAGACTGGCTTCTACAGCCTTGCAAATATATTCATCTTAAATTTTTAATCTTCAATAAAATAAGTAATTTATAAAATTATATTTTTAATAAAAATATAATTAATTTTGAATCAAACTGTCTTATTCAGATTTTAATAGTGTTTTAATTGCTAAAAAGATCAAAATAACCAAATTAGTAATCTTTTCAAAAACATACTTGAACATTAATATGAGTGTTATAATTTGAGTACACTTTTTATGCCTACTATAGCACTGCACAAATTCTTTATTTTACCAAATACTTACCTAATGATATGGAGAAACATCATACATTCATCAGAAGGAGTAAGAATGTATAAATATGAAAGTTGTTAATATTTATGGATTTGCTTATATTTATAATACAATACATGTTGGATAGTAAATATATAATAAATGATAATTGTTCAAATGATGTATGCCTACTATTCCCACTAAAGCCAAAATACTAATTATAGATTATAATCCTTAAGTAAACTTTTGAGTTTGTAGAATATCTTATTATAGAAATCGATTATATTCAGATGTCCAGATTCAAAATTAAATAATCGGAGATTTAAAAATTATATAAAAATATTATAAATATTAAAATATAGAAATAAAAATATGTTACTAGTTATTTTTAGGTATTTAAGTAAAATGAAAAAAATCAGATGTAATATGGCTGATTAACACCTGATTTGTTGTTTTTAAATTATTAAATTTATAATAATCATTTTGATCTCGGAATTTTCCGATTTTATTTTAAATGAAAGACTCCTAATTTAGGTACGTACAAGTATTTTGAGTAACAAACCATCTAATTAATTTAAAGTGATTGATAGCTAATGCATTTTCAGTGATGTAATATCATATGTATTAAGTCTAAATCTTTATTTCTTTTACAAACAAATATATAAGATAGAATTTGTGTGTTTATAAAGAAAATATAGTATATAAGTTATGTTGTGTTATATTATCATGATCAGTTTAAAATAATATTTAGGCCATATTAAATCTGCAAACTCTTTTCATCTTTGTTATAATGTATAATCATGAGATTTAAATATAGATTTTTTTTTTTAGTCAATAACAGATGAAATATAACAATATCAATATAAAAAATTTAAATCTGCATTTATTAATCCATATTTAAAACCACGTTTATGGTTAGGTGGCTTGTTAAAATATATAGAAATATATTTTTCTATTTTAATCTTAAAACATGTAATAAAATTAATTTGATAGTATTGTATTAATCATGCATTTATTTATCTATTATTTTACATTTATCATTTGATTAAAAACTTTATAATGGTTCTTGCATCATATATGTTAGCTTTTCAACCTTAAACTAGTAAATATTTTGAGTATACTTGGCATTCTGTGTCCGGTTCATATTTCAAACGGAATTGTGTTTAATCCTATAAATTTATCTAGCTTTAATTTGAATATTTTTTGTAGCTGATTTGAATTCTAAATTGTGAGATTCACATTTCAGCATCTATATATTTTTAATACTTTCTATAAAAATGTTGAATAAGTTTATTCTAGAGTATATATAAATTATAAGTAATTTTTATTTGAAAAAGAAATTTTTCATTTTGAAACTATCGAAAAAAACACCAAGTTATATTTTTATTTAACATTAAAATTTCTTTTATAATGGCCAATATTAATATGAACAAATCATTTATTTTATATATTTGATTTTGAAAGACTTTTTCCAAATGAAAAAAAAAAGATAGGTTTTATTTCTCTTATTCAGTATTAAAATATCATATTGATCTTTATAATAAATTTATAAAATAAAATTATATTAAGATATACGATATAAATTAGTCAATTTTTATTTTTCTCAATTTAATAAATTTAGCTTAATTTTCTATATTTTGAGCTAAATTTATAGCTTAAGAAATTTATTCGACAAGTGATAAAAATTATTAATATTAAATTACAAAAATATTATTTTAAATATTAATTTAAAAAAATGAAATTGATATATAAACACTAATTGTTTTAGAAATTAGAATATTTTTCAAATAATTTATTTAATACTTTATATAAATTTCTATATCATATTAACAAAACATATTTAGATGCAATTTGATTGTAAATATGAAAGAATTTTGAAATTTGATTAAAATCTTAATTTATTTATGTAAATAATAACTTATTTATAACACTTGTATTACAAAACAAATTTGTTTAACTACGCCAAAAAATTCTTTGATAACGGTAAGTTGCCGAAATTCACTAAACATATATTAAGAATTTGTATATTTTTCTCATTATAGAATTTGTTTGTCGAAAAGAATCATCTTTTGTTGTAATAAAGTATATATTAAGGATGTCCTACCAATTTCTGCTTATACAGAGACATAAAACAGGAAATCTTCAATTTTTCTGTTGATAAATCTTTATATATATATTAAAATGGGCGACAATGTCAAATTAATTGAAAATATGTCCGAAAGAATTCTTTATTTGATATTTAAATTAAATACGTAAGATGTTACGCTTAAATTGAAAATAAATTAAATTATGTTGGACTTTATAAATTAGGATTTGATTACAGAAATATTGTTTATCATTTTTTACAATTAGAACATTTTCTATAAATGATGTCAGTTATAATCTTATCTGTCAAGCTATTATTTCTTTAAACATAAAATGTAAAAAAATAATAATACTTTAGAACAGTAATTTAACTGGTTATTGTGAAATGTGGTAAATTTTTAAAAAATATTATTAATATTTATCAGAAAATTATTAAATTTAAGCAACAACTTAAAAGAAAAAAACTTAATAAAGCACATTTTCTTTATATCGAAGGATTTGAGTAACAAAAAAACCGAGCTTTTAAAATTCGCGTTTTTTTTTTTTTATCAAAACATATGAATTTAATCACTATATGTATCTAAAATTTGAAAATAATATTGAATAAGTCTTTCTACAATTAGATTTTATTCATTTTTATTATTTTACCGTCAATAAGTTAAAAGAAATAGAGTTATTTTTATGTTTTAAAAATAATATTTTAAACTTTAAAAATTTTTACGTTTGTAAAATATTAAAATTTTTATTAAATTTAATATATTTATTTTTATCATCTTGAACTAAATGCAATTTACTTTTTTTTTTTCCTGTTTAATTTTAAATTCATTATTTATTTCATGCATTATCATTACTTATATGAATTTATCCTCTTTTTTTTTAAGTTGTTGAATACTTTAAATAAAAATCAAGTAATAAAAACATTTTTAAATTAAAAATAAAATTTTATATCATAATATATATAATAAAATTAATTATATATCAGGTGTACATTACTCTCACTGTATTAATTACATCAAGCAGATTAATTTATTCAGTTAAGAATGAGGATAATTAAATTAAAAGTATCAACAAAAGGAACAAACCGTTTTGTTAATAAATTCAAATTCAATAAGTTACTTAAAAGATGCATTAAATTTTTACAATTAAGAAAAATATTTAATTACGGGAGGAAAAAATAATAATAATTTAAAAATAATTAATTCAGTGTTAAAACATCATTAGTTAACATTTAGAGATTTGTAATATTTGTAAAATAAATTTTTAAACAAATTGCGCATTCCGTGTTAAATAATGTAGATGGAGAAATGAAAATTTTATGCATTATAGACCAAACACATTATATAAATAGCACTAATAATAATAATAAACAAGCAGATCAATACCATCTTAAACATACACAAATCTGACATGATCAATTACTTAGAAACCATACAAATATCAAGTAAAAATATTTCAATTTAATCAAATAATTTAATATTATGAATGTTAAATTAATTAAATGTTGAGAATAATACAGACATACCTATATATATGTATACACTCTGTTGTTTATAAGTGTATATATATATATATTTATATAAAGTATTGTGTAATACATATTGTTATCTTTTGATCAAAATTTGGTATTAGTATCACTTTGGTTTTGGAGCCACAAATTTCCTGTAATATCTCGTTAATCAGGGGACATCATTCAATTTCTGTTCCCCTGCATTATTTTGCTGACTGTATTGAATGTAGATTTAGCCATGTCCTCGTCCAGCCACAGTTACAGTAACTGGGATTAGCAGGATTAATTAGACTGATAATTTGGTCGTACTGAAGTTAATTACCTGTAAATCAGAGACATTGTGTCAGTAACAGATCTTTGTGCAACTTCTGAATCTGATTGATGATACATCCTACTAGATAGTAAATGTTGTCACATAGTTTGTAGAATAGTACTAGTATATAGTTTAGTGTCAAGCTGTTTAAAACTTTTAACTATATTTACATTGTTTAATTTATTTAGTAGTCGATACAATTTCCTTTATTTAATTGTATTAAACGATTCGCATATGTTTTTTTTTCCCCCTTCTCCCTTACAAGTTTGTGGAAATGAATTGCGGGAAATGAACAGGGACATTGACACCTTATTTATATCTGTAGAAAAAAATGTTCTTACTTTTTATAAACGTTTTTTTAACTATTATTTATTTTATTTAGTCATAAATTTAAGTACTTTTTGAGATTTTTAAATAATTTAAAAATCTGTTAACACGACTAGAATTGTTTATTTCTCTAAAAATAACACTTTTTATGGATTTTTTACCGAGTATTTTCGTTATTTAATGAGTTAATTTATATACCGTATATTTATTTTTTTCGAATGAGCTTGTCAAAACAGATTAACAATATTTATATTTTATTAAAATCTATTTATGTTTTTTTTTTTTCTTTTATAAATTATTTAAGATATAAAATCACTTAGAATTTTCCATCGATGAATTTTTTTTTTTGAGGTTTTTACAGCTAAATGTAGTAAAAATAAACGAAGAATATTTAGTAAGCAGAGAAAATTTTTATTGTAGGATTATAAAAATAAGATATGTCAGCGCGGTTTCATCCATATTCTGCAGAAACCTTGAGAAATAACTGACAGCTGTCGACCACCTGCAACAAGGTAATTTTATAGTTGGATGATTTTTCTCAATCTCTATATTTTAGTCGTTTATCAGTAGATATGAAAAAAAGAAAACATATAAATGATTGTCGGTGACGTGTTTTAATTTATATATATATAAAAAAAAAATAAATGTATTTAAAAAAGAATTATTATTATTTTTATAGTTTTAGTAATTGGTGGAAAGCGTAAAATATATTTACGGGTAGGATTTGAAGAATTGTGTATAAAACAGACAATATATAATATAGCACGTGACCTTATAAATGCAAGACATGGAGTGTAAATGTTTGCAGCTGGACAGAATAGTGCTAACTTCGTCCTGTTAGATTTGTTGTAGGGTTCTACAATATCTGCACTTAAATCCACTCAGCACACATTCCTACATTTAGGGACAAAGACTAATCAAGTTTACGACTTGCTGATTAATCAAATTTGTCTCTCGTGATAAACAGGGAGTAAATATCTAACCACTAGTTAGTACAGCTTGTTATAAAATTATTTTATTCGTATGATACTAAACTAAATCATCTGGAATTGTACAAACGTCGGATTTTAGCTGCGGTCCTTGTTAAAACTTATTAAGGATAATAAAGTGAAGCCAAAAATACAAGGTTATTAGTCTTGTGGTGTAATCTTGAGTATTCTAATTGGATGGTTGTGCGCGACCACAAGTGGTGGGAAAGAATAATGAGACCATCAGGAAATATGCTCCATTTGTCTTGGGTTGCAGAGGCCAGGCCATGTTCCTTGGGGGATACTTTCCCTTTGTAGTGATGCGATATGTTGTGGCTGGCATTAATTCATGCAGTTATCAATAGCGGACTTTTCACCTGTAAATGTTAAGTAATTGATATTCTATTTCGGCTCGGTAGAAGGTTTATAATGTCATCACCAGCTCTATTTGCTTTGACAAATTTTGTTAATAGTTGCCGAAAATCATATTAGAAAGTTTCTAAACTCTCGACCACTTGAAATTAATTTCTCAATCGACACGTCCGTCGAAATCGAGAAAATTTCGTAACGCGCCGCTTAATTGGCCAGGGGCTGCCTCTTTCCGTACCTGGCCAATTCGTTATCCGGAGTTTTATATAGTGTGGAAACCAGATAGGAAAGGGATTTGAATGGCCTCACGCCCGCTTGATGGAGGAGTAATATTCGCGTAATAGTTGTTTTTGACAGTAATTGGTTTTACGAGGTCCTGTTATCGGGATAGAAGAGTATTGAGAAGGACACGACAACAATTCACTTTTGCACCGTGTAAAGAAAGATGCGGCATTGACTAAACGCTCGGCACCTCCTCCGATAAAAGTCGGCCTGCACATTGTAGCTTGCCTGATAAATCTATAAAAATGACGTCAACCAGTTGAATTCTTGCGTGTTTTGTGTCCGTCTAAATTACCGGAACTAAAAAAATTCCACACACCAAACAGAATCATTTTCAACAGATGAAGCGTTCTTTTGAAAATGCGGCCAACGCTCTATTCCTTTCGGAAATCAAAGAAAATTGTTTTTCCAAAACAAGAATAGTCGTCCTTTTATCTCCCTCTTTTCTCGTCCCCCCGATTGCGAAAAAAGTATACAAAAATGGAATGCGGTTGATGGCATTCTTGCGGGTCCTGTCCAAAAGTCTCTATCGATTCGTTATCGACTGGACAATGTAAAAAAGTCTCATACGTCGGATTGTATTTTTCGGACGCGCTCGGGCCGGACATTTTCGGCCATTTCATGCTCCACTAAGCTTTAAAAGAAGTCGACTCGAAATAAACGCAGGAATTTCATATTGTCAGAATTTATCACTTTTAAAGTTATTTCGTCCACCGTCGAAGACGAGAGGGCAACACAACGAATGAGGGGAGAATAAAATAATTTAGTGCGGTCACTTCAGTCTGGCAGGTATTGGTCATTTAGTAGTTGTGGCTGGCAGCACAAGAGATAGATGTCGAGCCATTCCACACTTTACGAACTGTATTTCTCTTGTGGCAGCCTCAACAGATACGTGTGTCGAGTGTGTAATGCTGAAAAACAACTATCTGACAGATTTTTCAACACACCGTAATTGTATTTACTGCCGAGAGAAATAAATTGGTTGCCCGACTACCACGCGATAACCATTCCGTTCCACTCCCATATGAGTGTGTTCGCTGCTACCTTTCGGGACGCCCTCCTCCACCTTCGTACGCAAATCCGATATTATCCTTTCGTTACTTAACGTTCGCCACATCCAAATATTCGGAAGTAGACGGGCTGCGATTGATTAAAAACAAACATCATACTGCCATTATCGGCCAATTATCGGTTGGAGTAAAGCCTCATCAGTTGTGAGACATTAAATTTCGCGGTTTGTTGGTGGGGAATCTGCACGGTTAATCAATGCAGGAAGGGATAAAAATCGGGGAGATGGCGCACGGTCACGAAAGCGGAAAGATTTTCATTAGGGTAAGAAATGTTTAAATTCTGTATGGGAACTTCATTTAAAAGTTAAGGGTCCGTTACAATAAAGGCTGCAGCAAATCAGAGATTTAAGCAGATTAAAATCGAATGTATTCTTTTCCTTGTTTTTTGTTATTATTCTTTTTCTTTGGTGGCTTGAGCCCGAGGCATTTGTTTCAATTTTTAACTCGGGAGAATAAATTTTAAATACTCGAAAAATACAGTTTCGCATCCTGGCGGCAATTAAAGTAATTCCATTTGGTAGGCGGTTAAGGTCCTTGCAGTTGTGTAATTTCATGCAAATTAGATTTCTTTGAAAGAAATACGATTTCTTAGCTAGCAAACATTTCTTTATTTACAGTTTCCTTATGTTTTTGTCCCCGAGTGTAATTTCGGCTTTACTCGACTTCATTGAGTCATTTGTCAATGTCCGAATGGAAATTACTCGAACCGGTTTTACATGCAAAGAGGCAAATGTTTACTATTTAAAAGCGCTACAGTGGCGGGGGCACTCCTGCAAGAAAAATAGTAGACGGGGTTTACATGTTATCCCGCTTCTTAAAATAATTCCGATGTGGCAACAATTAAATTTTAACGACGAAACGTGGATACTGCCATTCGATTTACCGGAGACACCCGAAGGGCGTTTCGTGCATACTTCGCGCCGTCCCCCCTTTATTATAGTGTAATAGATAGAACCGAGGGTCTCTTTTAAACTCGTTAGGCATTATCCGCATTTAGGGACGGATAATTAAATGAAGAGCGGTTAATAAAGTGGAAAAACGGTACGGGTGCCGGATGTCTTTCCATTGTGTGCCCGCTATGAATTAATTAGTATAGTTAGCACCATCTAACAATTTATCAAACTATGTACCTCAATTAGTATAACATTGTGCAGCCGAGAAATGCTCCACAATAGCTTAGTGGTTAGTTAGGAAACAATGCTTGGTAGATGGAGGGAGTGTCAACATCACGTTGCGCGCTTACAACGTAGGAGGTCGGCAGCTTAAACAGATGCCCCAACTCGATATTCCATTAGTATAAATTTGTTACAATACTCTGTAGACCTATTACGATATGGATGCTGCCTTGCCTATAAATATAAAAAGCTCACCGGCCACCGAAGACGCCATAGGCGCAAGAATATATTTGTTCTTTTACGGGGGACGTCCGTTTGCCGGTGGCGGGGGCATCCGCGCGGCAAACAAAAAAATAAAGGAGAAAAAATGATTTCGGCGTCGTAAATCAGTTGCGCGTCAGATGTGTGTGTTTTACTACGTCGCGTATAAAATCTCCTACAGACGGATAACTACGGTAGTTTCCCGGAATCATCCTCCTAGTGGGTGGAGTAGCTGACAGTAGATTCTAACCCAACTCATTGAGATAATGGACAAATTAATTGTCTGAAGGCTGGATGGGAGCAGGGTGCCGGGCCTCCAGGTAGGCGCGAGTCGTACCGTAACCCACCCAACCGGTCACGTATTGTTTTGTAATAAACACTTTAGCGGAACATTTCGTATGCAAAATGTGGTGCCGACGTTGAGTTATTTATAAGTCGGACGTGTCCGGAGACGTCAGAAAGGCTGGCCATGTCCCAGGAGCGTCGCTATCGTCTTTATAATTACAATAAACAGGCGACATGGAGAAATTTGGAAAAATTTTCCGAGTGGCGGGCGCGTGGCCGAAGTGTGCGGAAGCGCGTGGAAGAAGGAGATACGACGCATGGCGTGGAACTAATATCGAACAATATAACGGCACACGAACCGTTAAAATTAATAGATTCACGAGCCGGTAACGTGCAGACATGATGAGAATAAAGGTTGTTCCTCATCCGCTATTAAAACCCACCAAGGATGTCTTTTTAATTACAATCTTTTTGGGAAATTACCCGCGGCCGGATGATGTCACGTCTTAACGCGACTCCACCTCTAAGTAAATGAAGCGATTTTTCCTGGCGGGCCGCAAACAAAACATGTTGGTGTCCGGATAGGGTGACAAGTGACGGGATGACACCAATCGCTAACCTCTCCCGGCTCGGGTGATCCATTAGAGTGGGTGGGGTCGCAGGCAGCCATCCGTAACAGCGTTTAGATGAATTGCAGCCCTCATTAGTCCCACGGCTAAAGGAAAAGCCCTTCCGAGCATGTGTCCAGTGTCACTCGTGTGAAATATGTAGAGTGCAAGAGATCCCAAAGTTAATTAGACGGTAGGAAAGGGGGGAGAGTCATTACGCGTGATTAAAGTCACCGCTTACGCCAAGAAGTGGTAGTGTTTTGGTGGATTATTTCTTATCAGTCGGAGTGTGGGGCGGAGTGCGACCGAGCCAACTGTCACCCTTGATGGTTTACAGAATGACTGCTTACATTGAATTACACTCAATACGTATCGCTGTGCGCTTCTGCCGTCTCTGCCTTTTTCGTCCGCTGCAGCCAGAAACATGTTAATTAACCGCTGTGTTTATCAATTAAAAATAAAGATGATAAAGGGAATTAGCAAAGATTCTTTAATCTACCTGATGACGATTTTGGCTTTTGTCGTATTAACAAACGAGATAACGACCGCCATCCACCAAATTTGTCATTTTTCTTTTCCTTTTTTTCCGATTCCGCGCGCCGCCAGTTTAATGGCACAAAGAAAATTAATAAAGGCAAAACTTAAGTTTAAAGAAAAATTTAATCTTTTACTTTTATAAGAGTCAATTAACCACCGGAGTAATTTGCAATTCTTCGATTTGTTTCCATAAATTAATCGCCATTACTTAAATTCATTACTAATATGTCGAAGCGGATTTTTTTTTCTAAGCAGTTTTTTTCGTCGAATCGCCATCGGGGAAACGCAGTTTTTTTCCAAGAAAAAATATTTTTAATTATCTTTCGACTATTTTTTGCCTCCGTAGGACTTCTTAAGAGTTTTTTCCCTTTCCAGTAGGCATGGGGGAATTTCTTTAACTTAAAACGCCGAACAAGATTCACATTTTTTTTAACCCATCGAATTAATTTTTGAAAGTATAATTTTTGAGTTATTATTATTAAATGAATTGTATTTTTTAAAAAATAAAAATAATAATAATATCAAAGAAGCATATCAAGGATTTTTTTTCCTTTCAGGAAGAAGAATAAGGCAATCGGAAGACTGCGATGGAAACCGAAGTTTCCTCTATTCCTAATAAGATATCCGTTCCTACTCGATGAAACGATAAAGAATATTTTTTTTTTTAACAAATAAAATTTATGTGGAATTAATTGTATTATTTTACGCCACCAGGTGGCGACACAATCAAACGCTTGGAAGGAAACTGCTAATTGTCTGGCGCATTACGGGATAAATAACACGAATAGAAAAATGCACGGATGGCATCCGACGGAGCGGAAGGCCGCGGCCAAGAGGATGTTCGGAATAGTCCTTCCGCCCGTCGTCGGGTGGAGCGACGAGAAATAATAGAAACGCACATACGAGCCGACGCTGGTAATTGGTCGAAATATCGTCTCCGTCTGCAACTCGACCAAAGAAACCGTGGCAAAACGGAAATTACGTAAGCGCCACCTTTTGTCGGGGCGACTAAAAACGCGGTTCCGGTATCGGTCGAACGACTCGTAACCATTTCCCTCCCCCCAGTCGATTATCGTGAGAACCGCCACGACTCCGTTTCTGAAAGGGAAGTTCTATGGCGCAAGGAATTATACGCCAACTATCGCGAGAGGGCGCGCACGATAGGAAAAAAATCCCCCATTTTAATATTTCCACTTTCGGGGGGGAGAGGACGGATGCCGCTTTTCACTCGGATGATCTACAATCTAGAAGGAAAAACAAAACTTTTTTTTTTATTATTATTATTTGTCGAAAATTTTAATAACGAACTGAATTTACAAAGAATGTTAACAGAAAATAAAGTTATATGACTTTTCCCTATGACACAGATCGCTAGGGGAAAAAATAAGTATGCTCGTATGTGTGTCTCGTGTACGTGTATGTATATATACATATAAATACACACACAAGACGTTTTTATAATTTATATTGTAAGAAAGTGTGAAATAGGCACTACTATGGTTGATTTTTGCATAAATACTGTTAATAAAGGAAGAGTAACGTAATGGTAAAGACGAATAAGGACTGACTTCTTCCGACCACGTTAGAAATCTCTTAAATATCAAATATTAACATTTATTATCGAATTACATCACTCCTCACAAATTTGTACAAAGAATCATATACACGAATAGTTCTTATCCCATAAAAGTAAACAGGAGGAGGAGGAAGAGGGAGGAAAAGAAAGAAAAAAAAGGCTACATACGGTAATAAACCCTAATGCCCAACTTTCCAATTTTTGTTTTTCAAAAAAAATTATTGCCAGTAACTTGGCACTTCCGATACGAAATACGTCGAAGATATATATATTTACATAATCACACTCAATTCTACGGAGAGTCTACCGGACGAACCGAAAAAAGGGAAGACTTCTTTCTTTAATACAAAGGGGGTAACATCAATAAATAGGTTAGTACGGAAAGCGGTACAAAAGAAAAAAAAAGTAAACGTGATTAGCCGGACAGCAAAATAATAATAATAATAATAATAATGTGTTTGGCTGTCACTGTACAATACGGGAGCAGCGAGCCGGAGTGTCTCTTTCGGGGATGTAAACGACGATGCGAAATTGTGACAAGGAATACGAAATGTTCCAAACGATGTTTGTTGTTTTTTTTTTTTGTTTTATATTATCTTAATAATTTGTGAAAGACTGCTTCGGAGGAATAGTCGGCCCGGCCGGAAACGTTACCATTCGGCGTCGCCCATCGCTCGTTGAAATATGTAGTCCCTTCCGCGAAGATTCATGATGCCGTCCTTCAGGTGGAATTTCCACTTATTTCGACTTCGGGTGATCTACGTCAAAGACGGAAATGACGACATTAGAAAGGATCGGAGAGGAAGCGGCGCGTTAAAACGAAACTTACCTTGTCGTACTGGCAGACGACCACGTTGTCCGTATCGAACAGATCGGAGGGGTCCTCCTCGCTGACGTCGTCGTCCGAATTTAACGGATCCTGAAAAATAAGCGTTTAGAATTAAAAAAAAAAAAAAAGCGACGAATTTCTTAATCGTTTCTCACGATCCGCCATTTCTTTTATTTGGCATTAATTCGTACGGTTTATTGGACGGACGGCAAATGTAATCGAAGTCTTATAAACTTCGAAAATGTTATCTTAATTAAACGTCGCGTTTACTGGCCGGGAGACAGTTGTTGGCACTACTTGGCATTTCTCTAAACGTTAAGGAATGGTTGAATTAATTTTCAATTTTTGCCCAAATGTCGCATGCTATTAAGCAATTAAAGTTATTTAATTGTCGTCGTTGCATTTGCCAGGAGAAATGGGTTAACTCGCCTCTGACAAACATCTATCTGGACAGAAAAATGTTCCGTTTTTAGAATACAGATTAAAATAAATTCTCTTATATTATTATCATCGATGTTTCCCAATCGTCCAAAGCGTATTTCCTTGTAAATGATCCGGTATCCTATAATTAAAACTTTCGTCGTATTTTGCCGCTTGGGACATCGGCAAACTCCTTAAAAACTACACGTATTTATTGCACCTGTAACTAATTCTCATAATGAAATTTTTATAGTAATTTGATTGACAATTTAATGGCAGTCGTATGTAACTCATAAATCACTTCTCTGTCTACACGTTATTTGTATTTTGCAATTAAAAACAACAGTTAGATATGAATAATAAATACACAGAAAAATCTTCAATTTGCTGTATTAGTAATAATAGTAAAAAAAAACTATCGGAAAGTACTCAAAAAGAATTATTATTACTACTTTCCATCAATACATAAAATGGCTGGCTATGGGTGAATGCACTTTGTTAACTAAATAGAAGGTTAGCTAATATCCTAGCTTGACTATCACAATTCTACTGACAGACAAAAATATTCTACACATATAATTAGAATTTCCAATTATGTAACCATCTGAATCTGCCTTTCTTTCCTTCCAATATAACAAAATTAATTTATTTTTTTTCCTCCTTTTTTAAACAGAAAAATTTAAATTTAGAAACCTTAGGCAATGCTAATATTTAATAAAGATCTACCAAAAAAAAACAATTACTCTAAATAAAAAGAAATAAACCATTATATAATTTAATAAATAAAAAATTTATTCACCATATTAGAATAAACTGCTTATGATCAATGCACCTTATTCTTTATTATTTTAATATTTGTAAGCGTGAGTATACTTATTTATTCTCATAATTAAGTACAATTTGATATAAGCAAGCATAGTATTTTAAGTTAGTTCCAAATACTAAATAAAAATTTTTTTTAAGCATAGGTACAGTACATTTAACTCCATTAAAGTATTTTTCTGGTAATAGTTAATTCTGGAAATAATGATTCTGTATTTGAAGACAAATAAAAAATCCAGGCAAATATACAAGCCTACAAGTTTATATTACTAAAATTGTTTTCGAACTACCTCGATTCGTCATTCGTCCACCGGTTTTTAGAACGATGGCTTTCGAACCGAAACAAATTGAATTTATAGAAAAATATTCAGAGTCCACACTTGTTGATCTTGAACATTTCATCAAGCACGGTCCACTTCTTTGAGTAATGGGCAAGAACGTTACCATTTGAAAAAATAAACAAACCGGACAACGTATTTACTGATCGACGCTTTGGAACTTTGTCGTTCCGTCGTCGGATTGGCAAAAGAATTACGATAAACAACAAAATAAGAATGAACAAAACTAAACTAATAAATGCCAGGATCTATATTCTGTATTTTAAATCTTATATGTAAGAAAGTTTGTTAATATTAATTGTTAATTGAGTTATATTAGTGTTTGGTGACAATACACTGAAATTAAGGGTACGAAAAACTAGATGATTTATTGTTATTAAATTTAAATCTTGCATATAAAAAGAAGTTTTAATTTAAGATTTGAAATGCAAATTCTGAATTTATAGAAACAAATTTTCATTTAATTTATTCAAATTTGGAATAAATCCAGACTTAAATGTAGAAGTTGATACTTCTACATTTAAGTCTGGATTTTATCAAATGTAATTTTATTTTTGTATTTTTTAAAGTTCAAAAGAAAACAAAATTTCATTAAAAAACTAATTAATTATAAGCTACTTTAAAGACAGAATGGAAGTTTCTTTTAAATGAAAACCCATAAATTCATAAAAACAGATTAATAGAATCTATCATAACTTTGAATTGTTGTTTTATATAGTAATGATGAATTCTTATTCTTCTCAGAATAAATAAAATAAATGTAAAATCCAAAAAGATATTTGAAGTAAAACTGTGTTATAAAAACAGGGTTAAGACGGTTTCTAAATTATCTCTTTACATACAAATGTTTGTTCATAAAATTTTAGTTAATAATTAAAAACTGTTTATTATATTACATCATTAATAATTAGTGAATTAAATAAAGATGAAAATATAAAAATCAAATATTCTAAATTATAAAATTTTAATTAAAAACTATAAATTTTCAGAGATGTTGTTACTCATTTTCCATAACAACTTATAATGTGAATCAAGTAAATGATCAATAAAAGTTGAGCCTTTTAAAGTTCACACAAATTCTTATGTGATCTGTTGCATTTAAGACAAACTCTCTTTTAATACCTTGTGTATTGCATATGACAGCATTTCTTAACCTTTTTAAGCCAAAAACCAGTAAAATGTCTGAAAAAATACTATGTAGGCCTACTTTTTTTTAAACCAAGGTGGGGATTACCAATATTTGGGACATGCTGTGCCATTTATAACATAATAATTCTAAGTGTGTCTTGAATACACACAAAAACATAATTAATTGAGTTGAAAGTAAACTATTAAAAGTGAACAATCATTGAACACACTTTTAATATTTATTAATTTAAATTTGCCTGCAGACCACCTGCCCAACGTCGCAGAGCAGGGTTGAGAAATGCTGGCATATGACAATCAATTTTTAGATAGATATAAATTTAACCTAGATATAATTTTGTTAAAAGCAATTCATATTTACAATTTCTTACTTGCAATTTTAATATTAAGTACTTCAAATTCAAATAAATGTCAACTGCATTTAATATCACAAAACTGTATAATTCAAGTATTACGAGAAAGTGACGACATTGTTTATTATTTTGGATCAACGTAATGCTAAACTCAATATCAGAAGTGGATTGCACCACTCCACCATTCCATTGCAATAAGAAAAATTGCTAAAACTTTTACAATATTTACAATGAAAATTTTATTATAATGAAAAATCTGTTTCATTAGCATTCAACACAAAAATAACTTTTATTATTATAATCACTAGCATAAATATAGGATTTGTTAATGAAGGTGAAACTGGTTTTTAATCCTTTTGGTACAAAAAGAGCTAATTATGTAAATTGATTTTTTATATTTTTACTTGGAAAACAGTTATTTATGATTTTTATTTCACAAACAAACAAATCTCTCAACACCTTGTACTAGATTACAAATAAAGGAACGAAATATAAACTGACCGTACTTTCGTTCTAAGTTTGAATGTGAAATAATTAACACTACAAACTGACACATACGTGCCAGGATTTTTTTCCTTTCTGGCTAGTTGTTTTATATTTATCAAAAGGTGAAAATTTTTAAATTACCGATGAAATGGCAGCATTATTAGAATTAGTTTAATTTGTTCCTTACAGAAATTTGTATATCAGTATAGATTTAACACTGGGTACGCAACATTAATGCTTATACTAAATACAGTATTAATATATCATATATTTTGAAGTGCAAGACTTTTCATTCTTCATGTGCATCATTCGCCTTTATCTTTAAAGAAATTGAGCTATATACTTTCATAAAATGAATTTATCAGTTTAATATAAATATTTTATATTAAATAAACAGTTAACACTACTACATCTAAAATAATTTCAGTTTGTTGCCTTTTTTATTGTCTTGAATATAACATTATTCAGGTGGGGCTGGCAGGCCAAACACACCTTGACTTAAAAAGATCTGTTGTGCACCAAATATAGAATGTTAGCTTGAATATAGATGCTTCTTATTAAAATATGACATTACAATATATCATTTTAAACAGCATTTATTATATGAATACATGTAATAAATGATTATATGAATACAAAGTAATAAAATTGGATATATCTGCCTTAATTTGCACGATATCATGGATCGAAGAATGTTTCAAACGGTTATAGCTAACAATTATCCAAAAATGGTGAATATGGCCATTAGGGACAGAAGATTAAAGACAACTGTCTTAATTGTTGAAATTTTATAGATCTAAACTGATAAATACAAGACTCAAAATATTTGTTGTTATTAAATTAACATCTACTAAGCAGATTATTATAATCTAGTTGAAAGCAGATGGTAAAATTTTAAAATTATTCATAATTAAATATTACAATTCCTAGCTCAAATATTTTTAATACATAATTTTAAATTTTCTAACACACTAGCCTATCATTACTATTTAGATATTTACTGATATAAAAGTAATAATTTTTCCAAAGAAAACAAAATATATAGCCTAGTCTCTATGTGATATTTTCCATCAGTCTTTACTGTATCCTCTAAATTGTTCAAACATTAAATCTTCAAAAAATTATAATTTGATGATCTTTATTCTTGTGTATTTGACAGTTTATCTCAGCAGTTCTCAATAGAATTAAGGCCCGAGATCAGGACAGTTCACTGTTAGAATGCTCATATTTTTGAAACTAATCATCAGAATACAAGCAACATAACAACATTGTCCTATTAGTAAAAATATGTCTCAAAATACTATACTAATATACATATACAAATGCCCAAGACATGCAGAGAAAACTAGTAAAAAAATTTTGTTCAAAACCACTTTAAAGAACAGTCCTAAACTATCACACCATCAAGATGTTATTATTAAGAATATTTTATGAAAATATATTTCACATATACAAAATGTTTCAAATGCCTACATCTCATTTAATATTAAATGCATCAGATTTGAATACTTTCATTTATGATATG